CCCCCCCCATCCTCTTAGACATCGTAAGACAAGACGCCGAATACCTCTACACCCAGAGCTCTAACTAAACAGGGGTTACAGATTATGCACTTGGCTGTGTGCGATGGTAGTTTGAATACAGCATCGCTCGGTTTTTAAACTCTTCCCGATTTTCCTCCCATTCCTTTTCTCTGTGCAGTTTCAGTACCTTTTAAGGACTTTGGAATGGCCGAGGTGGAATAACGCATTGACGTTGGAAAGGAAAATGTGAGGACAATCATACTATAGTCTTAACAAATGTGTTTGTCTCAGGCTTTTGCTCGAGAGAAATGTGATTTTATTCCTTACCTTCTGGACCGCCCGTAATTTTTGCATTCTTCCATTTCCCGTTTGTTTTAAAAGGAAGTTGGTCAGTGTATTATGGGACAACGACCCCACACACACGTAAGTTCATGAACAGGATACATCCAGACGGTATTCAGCGATGAAAGGTTAACTCAAAAGGAAGGTGACTTCATGCATGGGCCTATTATTATGTTATAGATACGACATTGGCTGCTAGAAATATTTTCCCTACTCCATTTCTGTAGACGTTTTAGGGCGGACAATGTGTTACAAAGTACAAAGCAGCGCTGTTCTAACGAGAACAATTGAGATTATAGTCTTTTCCCCCTCTTTTTAAAAACTTTATTGTGAGGAAAGTAGCCTTTCATTATTTCAAGAATTGCTTTTTAACTTTTAGCCCAGAGCCTACCCGTGGTGTTTTACATGCTGTTTTTTTGGGCTGTTTTGAGGTTGTGAAAGTGTAAATTGTGACTCTGGATTTCGGACCGTAAGCTGGTAAGGACACTTCTACCGTCATTGGGCATTATTTATCTTTAATATCACGTTGACAGCAGTGTCAAAATTAATGTTATTGTCAGTTTGTCCAACTTGTCGAATCGCTTTATGATTTCCGAGTCTTTCGCGCATGATGTCATGGCTACCCCAAAGTGGCCCCGCAGAGAAAGTAAGTTCTGAATGGAGACCTAAACTAGACCTTTACTTGTGAGAAGTGGCCCTGTTCCGCTGTCAACGAAAGCTTGGTCTCAGAGGCAATTATTCATGTCCAAATTCCCAGTGATCGCAAACATACTTGAAATAGAATAATACTCGCTGTGATAAATCTAGAATTTCCTTCATTTTCTGTTTCACAGGAACAGAAACGTTCCTGATGGAGATCTGAAACAAAAAGATTTCTGAATATCTTCAACTTAGGGTGATTTTGCGAGTCGTTTTATTGGGGACACACGACCGACTTTATGCCAGCTGGTGTCATGTGTTGCAATCGAGATTCGACTGTTGTAATATTTTGCAACTGATAAATGTTGAGAAGGATTTCAGTTTCATGACTTCTTCTGATGAATACAGTCTTTTTGTGATGGTGTATTCTGATTAATACAATGTTCTGGTTTTCTGAGGTGTCCAAATCAAGACAGACTTTTGGGTTTTTGTGATGGCGTGTTTTGATTAAGACAGTCTTCTCGTTTTGTGATGTGTTGTAACCAAGACACTCCAAGCCTTTGGGTCTTCAGCAGTTTGAGAATTCTAAACCTACATCATTCCCACAGAGAGACATTTCATGGGCGACAACTGTGGTCTTTGCACACACTCCACTACTCGGAAATAACAACGAGGAAGCGCCAGCGACAACCTTACGTACGAAGAAAGGCTTGCAGGGGGATACGCTGTGAATCAGGAAATTTATTTGCACGTGGGACGTTGAGATGCAGAAACATATTCATGTCAGGAGCATTTAGCGTTTTTCATTTTTTAAGTCGTTTCACGTACATTTACGGTTACATCGAGAAGTGTGTTGTCGTTATATATCGAGGCTTCAGCGACTCCTAACGCGCTCTTTTCTGGCTTGTCTTTTTGTTCTAAGGATTTCGGAAAAGGATTACAATAAATGTAGGTGGTTTTTAAAACGTATGTGTTTGCATTGAGGAGATTTTCTGGAACAATCAACTTGCAAGATGAAAACACATTGGTGAGTAGATGAAAGAAATTATCATTGGTTGGGTGAAAGAAAATACGAGTGAAAGATGCTGATGATGACGCTATCATCATCCAAATCATCATCCTAATCATCATCGTCGTCGTCGTCGTCATCATCATCATCATCATCATCATCATCATCATCATCATCATCATCATCATC